TGAACTGGGATGAATAATGAATAATAAAAGGGCAAATATACCTATGGAATATAGGTAATTGTATAGCGATGTGTTTCTACCATCCTGTGGCTAGCAAATACATTCGCATCACTCTGATTCCCCCATCAATTTACCTTGAAAGTAGGCATACATTCATTTGAAAGCAATTATTGTATTGCTGGATTTGAGTCAAAAAATATATAGAATCTGGCCCATTTCTGGAAACCAATGAATGTATTGGCTCTGGTGGTGGTACCAATGCAGTCAATTTGATCTTTCCACTGACGCAACATAATACAGGGTCTTCATTTTCAAACATGAAAGCCTTGAAATGTGGACTCACAACGTTAATTGGTCTAAGAGCAACGATTTTTTGTGAACTGTAATCGATTGCCACGTCATAATTGAATGCGGCTTTGATTGGGATCAAATGCGACACTTCTACATTGGTGAATGTCAGTCCTACGATCCCGTTCAACTTCATTTCTCGCATCTCGTTGTTCGTCAGTTTGACTTCTTCGTAATATATCTTTGTCTTGCAGCATTACGAGTTCTGCGACCTAAATATTGGTACGTCCAATTGGTGGCATTTTGAAAAATAATTTTTTTAATATAAGGCGTGATTGCGGTGAACTAAATTCCTTCCTTGTTGATTATTTTTGAACAAATACTTCTCAACAAACTCACTGAACCAACTGACAACTGGATAAAACCTCTAATCGAATGGACTTTGCACTACCAATCAAATAAAACAATAATATAAATTTTGCGGCGTGCGAGCTGTTAAGTTCAAAATGATAGAGTACTGAAAGTAAAGTAAGCAAAAGAAACGTATTTTCATCCGCCATTTTTATTAGAGTTAACTGACAAAGATAACAATTAGACAACACTGCAGTTTCTTTTGAAGAGGTCATCACAAAGTACGGATGGTAAAGAAATGTAAGTCCAAAAACGAAAGCACCGAGCTTTCATAAGCAATTTTCTCTCACATACAGGTAGCTATCAATAGCTGATAGAATAAAGATGGCGGAGAAGAGTGCCTGTCTCTTTTGGTACTGGAGATGTTTCTTCTGCTGTGCGTGCTCCAGCAAACTGTCAAGCGCGCTTAGCTTAAATAAGCATTAGGTTTTAAATGATTTCCCAATTTTCTGCGCAATTTCCTTGATTTTTCTTTCCGTAAGAACCTTCTATACAGCATTAGGAAACTTTCAAAGAAAGACTAACAAGTCGGTAAAGTCGTTCTCAAGTTATAGCGTGACCACGCGAAATAGGGATTCACTTATATACAGGGTGACTTCGAAGTTGAGTCATTTATTTTAACAGTGAGTAGATCTGATCAAAAGAAATGTTTTTTTCCTTTACCATTTTTCTGGTAAAATTAAAGTAACAAAGTTATAGCCCTTTGGAAGTTTGAGTACCGCCCTGTCTCAATAATGATATTATGTTCTCGTGTTTGGCAACAACAGATATAATCCGCCTTATCCGTTCATCGCATGGGAAACAAAAAAGCGAAAGAATTTGGAACGATCTTTTTACAATTATTTTCTTCAGTTGTATACAGTCAGTATCAGTCGGTAGTCGGTAACGCGTAAGTGAATAATCGTGTCTGTTGCGAGGCTCAAATCAAAAATGGCACATGTTTACGAAAATGCTGAACTTGTGGACATGGTTCTTATTTACGGGGAGTCTTTACAAAATGCTGCCGCGGCATCACGGATCTATGCGGATCGGTTTCCCAATCGAGTGCAACCAACCCCTCGTGCCTTTGTTAATGTAGTGCAAAGAGCTCGTGAATCAGGTGACTTAAGACCTCACAGAGGAGATCATGCCGGTGCTCCAAGACCACACGATCAAATAGAACTAGAAGAACAAATTTTAGAATTAGTAAGTGATGATCCAACAGTAAGCACCCGACAAATTTCAACTCAATTGGCGATTAGTCAGTATAAAACTTGGAAAACTCTACGTGAAAATCAGTTCTATCCGTTTCACATACAAAAAGTGCAGGCCTTACAACCGGAAGATCATGAACAAAGGGTTGACTTTTGCAATTGGCTTTTAAATAAACATCAAAATGATGACAATTTTTTAAATCAAATTTTAGTGAGTGATGAAGCCCTCTTTACTAGAAACGGAATTATTAATTCACGTAATTCTCACGTTTGGGCTATTGAAAATCCCCATGAAATAAGGGAAACCAATTTTCAACAGCGATTTGAACCAATCAACCTGTGGGCGGGAATTGTTAATGGAATTTTAGTGGGGCCTTTTGAATTACCAAATCGCTTAACTGGTGAAAATTATTTTGATTTCTTGCAACACAATTTGCCTGGTTTACTGGAAGATGTGCCTTTAAATATTAGACAAAACATGTGGTTTTTACAAGATGGGGCACCACCCCATTATGCAAGAAATGTGCGTGAATTTTTAAATAGACAATTTAATAATCGTTGGATCGGCCGTGGCGGTTTGTACCTTGGCCGCCAAGGTCTCCGGACTTAAATCCTTTAGACTTTTGTTTGTGGGGTTGGCTAAAAACTCTAGTGTATAAAACACCGGTTAATACACGCGAAGAATTACGTGCTCGAATTGAGGAAATGAGTACAGTGATCAGAAATCAACCAGTGATTTTATTGCGTGCTTGTAAAGAGACATGGCTAAGACGCGCCCAGCTGTGCGTCGAGCAAAACGGAAATCATTTCGAACAGTTTTTGTGACATGCTTTTGGGCGCACAGGTCCGCACTGAAATACTTGTCGGGAGGATACTTTATAAAACAAGGTAACATTTTTTTTTAATTTTTTTTTATTTTACACACATATTTTGGTTTATCTTCCTTCTACAATCATTATCTGAAAATTAATGACTCAACTTCAAAGTCACCCTGTATATATATACATAGATGAGATGGGATAAAGTAGTTAGTTATTTCGGACTGTCAAGATATAAAAATATCTTTCGACTTTATCGATAAATGTTAATGAAACAGGCCTTGAAAACTCAGAGATCTCAAAGTTTCTGATGATTTACAATTCAACAAAAATTTTTGCAATCGTAAAAACATCAGTTTGGAAGAAAGTTAATTTTATCTATATTTTTAAATTTTCTAATGTTAAAGTAAAAAAATTACGCATTTAAGTTATAATTTATCATTTTAATAAGCCGTATTCATAAAACAAAGGATATCCTGGTTTTTTTGAATACGGAAATCCTCCAGCTGGTATTTATAATAATTTGAAGTAAATGCTTTTGCTTTTTGAGTATAAGCATATCCTTTAAAGCAGTGACATAAGTAGAAGGATATCCATAATCTTCACCTTATACTTGGCATAGGAAGCATATCCTTCAAAAATTCTGAGTGTGGTCAGTAGCAGACTCAACGTCGTAACGAAAGGTGGTCAAACGATGATGGCGGAAATTGTGGATGTTAGGAATGAAATGAATGAAGATATGGCTACGTTATCTCGGTGACCATGGATATCAACAAGGTATTGGTCAGGAACTTGATGTTAGTCAAGCAATGGTATCTCGGACTTTGGATAGAGTTGTGAACAGCATAGTTGCACAGTCGAACGAATGGATCAAGTTTCCAACTACCAACCATGAACTGATGGAGGCCAAGCGGATATGGCAAAGCATGTATAAATTTCCGACAGTAATTGGTGTAAATGATTGTACACATATAAGAATCCTGAAACCAAATTGCCATGGAGATGAGTATACCTGTATCAACCGAAAATGGAAACCTACTTTAAATGTGCAAGCCACTTGTGATGCCAGAGAGATGTTCACAAGTGTTGATGTCAGTTGGCCTGGATCAGTGCATGATTCCAGAATATGGAGAAATTCACAGCCTAGATCACAATTAACAAATAAAGCAAATGATGTACTACTTGGCGATGACGGTTATGGTTTTGAGCCATGCCTTATGACTCCCTTCAGAAATCCTACTCCTGGTGCAGAAATAAATTATAATAAGCTTTTAAAACAAGAAAGAGTTATAATTGAACGCTGTTTCGGCCAACTGAAACGCCGGTTTTTCCTATCCTACAGTCTGTTTGCCGCGTAAAGTTGGAAAATGGGCCGAAAAAATAATTGTTGCTTGTATTGTACTCCATAATGTTGCGAAGAGCTTGAGCGATCCTGACTTTGAGTTAGTTGAACAAGACCCAAATGAAGAAGAAGGAAATCATGAGAATGACGAACTTCCTCTCCGCCAACTAGCTCAACAAATAAGAAGAAACTTGAGTTTTATAATAAATAGTTTTACTGATTAAAGTGTATTTATAGGTTATAATAAGTTTTATTTTCGTGAACATCATAAGTTACAGGTGGCTTCTGACGCTGCATCATTTCTAATTTTGCTTTATACTCGTAATACTCTTGTTGAAAAATAGTTTGTTTGGTACTGCTGTAATAGCACTAGACGTTGCAGTTCTTTTGTAGTTAACCCTTTGGTTTCCTCAGTTTCGTATTTCTCTGTTGCTAATTTTCTTTTTGGTTTCAATGACTTCTGAATTCCTGACGCAGTAATACTAACTGTTTGCTCACTGCGCTCGGTATATAGTTCACTTCCTTCTTCTTGAACACTACCAACCTGACTGGCACCTCTAATTTTCCAAATTCTAGGATTACAGTCACCTTCCATAGCTTTCAGCAACTTTCTTTCCCAATCTAACAATTTAATTGCTTTATTATCAGTTTCTTTTAGATCTGTTTTTTCTTCAATCTTGAGTTCATGTTGTTGATTTTTTGTAATAAGCCTTTAGTATCTAATGGTTTACCAAATGTTGATTCGTACTTTTTCAAAATCTTCTTCAAGGCATCGTCCGTCCTCATTTTTATTTTTGGAACTTGTGACTTGCAAAATAATGAGGGCAATGGCAATTTCATCTGCGATGAACTGCAGGTCGTTGCCATTATTTTCTATAGTTTCCTCATCACATGAGGATAACATGCTTATTAATTTGATAAAAACTGTATCCAGTAAAAAGACGGAACGGTCTGTGTAAGTTCTGGAGTACAACTGTCAGTGATGCTGAGTGAATGAACTCCCACGTCAACTACAAGCTGGAACAATTCAGGACATGTCGCTCAAGATACAAATACCAGTCAACCTTTTACTTCTTCTTGAAGGATATCCTCGCGAGTATAATGTAATCATTATGAATATGAAAACAAGGATATGCTTATATTTCTACCTTTTTCTCCGAAGCAAGACCTTATACTTTTACCTAATGCTTCCGACGGTATGCGACTTTTATGAATACGGCTCAATGTGCTCGTCAATATTGGTATCCATTATGGGTTCTAGCGTGTCGAAAAAGCAGCCGAACATTGAATAAGATCATTCTGTCAATTGACAGAAAAACGTTGAAACCGGAAGGTCTTATTTTATACCATCCCAAGAGCACATATCCTAGATAAAAGCAGGATGCCCTTGTAGTTAAAACCCTTCAGTTTGAACGCGGCAGGAGTAAATGCCGCAAGGTTTTAATTCTAAAATTGTCGAGTGCTTATTGTTTCCATGTTAACTGTACTCTCAGTTTTTTTCATTATTTCGAACGAGAAAATTGTTAAAATGAACAATACTCTAAGCTAAGGTTTCACACTAAACAAGATGCGGTGTTCATTTTGGTCTTGAAAGCAGAGGAGATAAGTTTAGTTTTATTATTTCTAACAAAAGGTATGGTTAGTATTTACGATAACCAATTAAGTTAAAAGTGCTCAGTTTAATACAGCTTGCTTATTGAATTTAAGGTTCGAAGAAAGCTTAAGAAGAAATAGGCTTAAATATTATTTACCGACCAATTCGTCGTAATAATGGGCGCTACCACTTATTTTAGAAGAATCTTAGAAACTACTTAAAAACTACAACGTCACATACTAGAACGTAATAAAACTGAACTAAACTTTTAAGGATGATTGGTGTTATTTGATACTCTTATTAGATTGTTTAAAACCAGTATTAAACGCTAAACAATTTTTAAGTTATAGCGGTATATCTATAAGGCAACTTAAAAACCACTGTTTTTACGGCAGGGGTATTATGTAAAAAACGAAAATATGTCACTTTTCAAGGTTCGTAATACCCCTGCCGTTCTACTAGGGATGTTTATCTTCTTTACACTAATTATAAATCTACTTTTAAAAAGTTAGTTTCTCGATGTAGCTATAAATGCTCATATATCAGAAATTAACGTTTTCAAAGTAGATTTTTAATTTTTGCGAAGGGGGAGAAACATAGCTCTGACAAATTCTTATAGATGACGCTACGGTATTTCATTTAAGTAGAATATTGTTTTTTTCACGAGTGTTCATTACGGTGAAATAATAGCTGATTATCTAGTAATATTCCAAAATTCCCCTTATCGATAAATGACGCATCATTCTGTCGGATCCGTTAACACCAAGTAGACAGAGCTGTATTTGTTTTTTTTTGTACGCTATATATGTATTATTTTGTACTTGCTAACAACTTTTTTATATAGAAAAGTTCATTTGCATACAAAAAAAAAACGCTACAAGCAAGTGTTACTAGACTTACACCCGATTCATTATTGACAACGTTACAGACTAATACAAAGATGTCACTGATCAGCTGTCTACCTCATTAGACGTCAATAACGTGATGAATACTCGAGAAATAACGTTTACATTAATCAACATCCTAAACATCATCTTTAAACCTCAATTTCTCATCCTCCCTGCTCTAACGGTCTGATTGGGCAGTGTTGCGCGTAAGCTACATTATTCATTAACGGAAATAATATTATGAGAGACCTTTGTTTATAAAAAGTTGAGTCAAAATTTTCAATATGGTTGCCGCGTAACAGGTGTTTGGTGCACGTATGAATCTGTAGTTGGGATCATTTATTTTTATGTTCTATTAGCCTGGTATAAAAGAAGGTTGAGTCTTTATGTTTATGATTATTTTTAAGCGATAGATCAGAAAATAAGGCAGGAAAATGACTTTTTTAGTATGTATCTCTCAAGCAACATTGCCAGAATAATTACGTTTCCTTTTTCAGTCTTCCGATCTGGATAATTTTCCAACCATAAGCACTACATGTTTTTTCGGCAAAAAGAAGGCACCGACCGCAAGTCCCACAGATCCGCATATTTCCGATGTCTCAGACAACGATTTCAGTGACGGAGAAAATATTTCCCAAACAAATGAGCTTAACGATGAAGAAGAAGTGCCTTCAGGACTTGACATGCTGGTTCCAGAAAGTAATTCTGAATTCGAAGAAAGTGACGATGAAACTGAGCTGCCACCACCACAAAGACGAAAAACTGAATCATATTCTTGGATTGAAGCTGACATAGTTTCTGCTAACATTCCTTCACCAGACTTTCCTGAACCTGACAACATTGCAGTTCCCATTGAGTATTTTACAAAGTTTTTTTCATTTGATCTAATGGATAAAATAGTCTATCAGACAAATCTTTATAGTACTCAGCAACTTGGGCAATGTATTGATAGAAATCCGTCAGAAATAACGGATTTTCTATCTATACTCTTGATTATGGGTGTAATAAAACTTCCTGCCATAGAAGATTTTTAGGCAGCTATATAATGTCTGTGAAGAGGTTCCAGAAACTAAGACGGTATATCCATTTCAATGATAATACTAACATAACAGATCAGACAAAGGATCGATATTTCAAAATGAGACCCTCATTAGAAATTGTGCGCAAGAACTGTTATAAACTCCAGTTTGAAAATCAATACTCAATTGATGAAACAATGGTGACTTACAAAGGCTCATATGCGGGCAACTTGAGGCAGTGTATCCAAAATAAACCCCACAAATGGGGGTTTAAACTTTTGATTCGTGCTGGGGTTTCTGGTTATATTGCGGACTTCATACCCTATCAGGGAGCTGCGACATTTGAAGTGCTTAGAGGATTTCCGAATGAGTTAGATGATTATGAAGTAAATCTAGATGTAGGTGCTAGCGCCGTCATTTCTCTGTGCAAAACCCTAAGCGAATCGAAAAACACTGTTATATTCTGTGACAATTGGTTTTCAAGTGTAAAATTATTTATTTATCTGAAAGACCGATTCGGGATACTTAGTTTAGGAACTATAAGGTCTAACAGAATAGCTGGATGTCAACTTGAAACCGATAAAGTGCTTCAAAAAAGGCGAAGAGGTTCCTACGTTTATAAAGCAGATACAGACAAAGTTATAATAGTAGTAAAGTGGGCTGACAATAAATGTGTTCTGTTAGCAAGTACATTCTGTAGCCTAAATCCCGTAAAATCGATAAAAAGATATTCGAAAGTGGAAAAGAAAAAAATTCCCATCCCTTCTCCATACGTTATAACGCAATACAATAAGCACATGGGCGGTGTCGATAAGGCCAATTCATTACTTGGTCTGTATCGCAGTCCAAGCAGATCGAAAAGATGGTACTTCCCAATTTTCACATGGGTTCTTGATATGTCAGTGATCAACGCCTGGCTTCTGTATAGAAAGGACTGCAACGCAGCACGTGTAACGTCAAAACCGCTAAAGGAGTTCCGTATGGAATTAGCCAAATCGTTGGCCAACGCAGGAAAACAAAGTTCTCGTGGCAGACCATCCATTTCCTCGACTAATGAAACCCCTGCGAAAATAATATCAAACCCTATACTGCCGAGACCTGATATCACCACCCAAAAAGATGGCATAGGTCATTGGCCAACTTATGGTACAAAAGATAGATGCAGGCACTGTGCCAATGGATTTACAACAATCTTTTGTACCAAGTGCAATCTTAGGCTTTGTTTCACCCCAAATAAGAACTGTTTCTACTTTTTCCATTCCAATTAGATTTAGCTGTTTCATCACATTGAATTTTGTGAAACTAGAAATATATACTTTGTTTATTTCTTGATATTCGTTTTATAAATAAATGATTTGAAATGTATAGTTGTATTTCCATATAAACCAGTGCAATTAGGTTTACCTTTATCGGTGAATGTTGCTTGCAAGTAACAATATAACCTATACTTTATCTCACAATGTTGCTTGCAAGCAACTAGTTCTAAAGTCATTTTCCCAGGTTATTTTTCAACTTTTATAATATCTTATGTCATCTATAAGTCATAACTGATAACCTATGCCAATATTAGATTTTTTCAATAAGGTGTCGCGCAAAGGCAGATACAGGGTTAAAGACAACTAAATTCGGGGACAGACTCCCCATTGTCGTAGTAGTATTAGTAGTAATAGTAGTAGTATTTTCCACCAAGATTTTATAGTAGTCGTTGTATCTCGGTATTTTTTTTTGCCCTGCCGTTTGCCGCTCTCATAACATAAAAGACCTCACACAATCGCGTGGGAAGTAAAAATAGTAATACAAAAGCAAAAAACAGCAATAGATGGCAATAGACGAAACCACCACATTTCCCTAATAATACTACAAAACCCAAAATTACGCAGACAATTTAGAACGGATATGCGGCATAAAGTTATAATCTGCCTATGAGGAGGTGGATAACATGCAACAGAAGAAAAACAGGAGTCGATTTGAAAAAATGTTCCCAGTTAATTTTATGTAATTTGGTAAACTGCCGTTCACATTACTCTCCGATGGTTCGTTATTAAGATGTGATGCGTTCAGGTTTAGTGCGTAACAGCGGAAGGTGTTATTTTGCCTTATACAGGGCGTACATGGCATTAATTACCAACCATTCGTAACGGAAACATGGAGACGCACTTACTAGTCTAGATGCTATAGCTGAAAAGTCGTACGAGACATGGTTAGAGTGTTAAGGCGCGTACACACTGCTAGGCAATAAAAGGAAATGCGTAATAATTGCTTTGTTTCTTTATTTCGCGACCAGGGATGAATTCTAAAGGCTGAACGATACTTTAGTGCATATCGCAAATATTTCATTTCTTATCTTAAAATGAAAGATTAGGATGTAACTTGTACGAAACTATGATTTTTTCTTTAAGGAACCCTCTGCTTGCTATTTTATATAACTTCAAAGTTGCATTTTGAGTGGCAATACTGTGGTTTAGAATACTGCTTTATGAGCTGTTTCTTCTTATTTACACAAAAGATTGCTTAAAATTGTATCAATATAACATACACTGTTTATTACTGTGGCACTGTTCATCGCAATAATGCAATTTTGCATAATTTTAATGATGAAAATAGTTCATTGTTAAGTAGTCATACCCATTTTAGATAAATATTCCCATCACTACACCACCATCACTATCATAATTTCTCCA